ATTATTTGTCACAAGGACAGTGTGTGCCAGTGTATATATATTGAATTTTATTGCGCCGCTAATTTTAACTGACCCAACCGTTCAAAAGGTATGGCCAAAGTTAAAGTTTGGTTTAAAAAAGAAAGTAAAGTTCCAAGATCAAAAGGTAAAAAAAAAAAAAATTTTTTTTTGTAACGTACTCAGGAAAGGAAAAATCAATTTTTATGTATAGTCTTTTAAGAAATGTGTATGTGAAGTTACAGGGTTAGTGGACAAAATATTTATGCATATTTAGATGAAAATAAAAACTAGAGAAGTTTATCCATATAATAATGGCTGATACCTCAGCATAAACAGCAGAATACATTCTTAAATACTACAATATGTCTGCAATTGAAATAATACAATATGAACGTTAACATCAATGAATTTTATAAGTTGTGTAAGTGAAAATTCTGTTTAATAACATAATACAAAATATGCAGGTTTCATCATTACATTTATCTCGTATTGATGAAACCTGTCGATTAAAAATTAAAATCACCTCTTAAAAACGAAACCCAATCACAAATGCAGTTTTATGTGCTATAAAAAAAGATATGAATATCAATTTTTCCTCAAGTAACAATATGAACTCAGGAAATGGTCAACCAAACAGACGACAATTTTTATGTATACTTCGAAACTTTTAAGAATTTATTATCGTGTGCTCCATCTCAATTATACTAACAATAGACATCCAGTTCTAAAAATGTCAATCCCATCTTTAAAAACAGACTATGAAGATGAATGAAATATAGCTGTACTCTAACCGAATGAGAAAAACAAGCAACAGTGTTGAACAGTTGGAGGGGGTTCAAGTGGCATGCATTAGATAATTAAAATGACGTGTATGTTGTGTAATTCTTAATTAAAACACGGTCGATTTTCTTATTAATTGAGTCAATGGGCTGGTGAGTACAACTCTACGATCGATTCCCCCTACTATACTCCTACATCTCGCCTTCTTATCACACTCAACATGCGGAAAATGAGCATGCTAAACACTTCCGGGCGGTATACTTTGGTGCCCAATGCCTTTTATGCTCCCGGAATCTACCGAAATTATGGTTTAAATGGAACAAAATTACACTTCATATTACTTCACTCAGTATAGAGGTGGTTTATGATTTTTCCCAATCGATTTCTTAAAAGTTATTTTCAATAATGTTAAAAACTATTTCTCGATACAAAGCAAGTTAAAAATCTAGGGTTTGGCTCATATATTTTGTAAAAATTGACCTAGCTAATACCTTTTGAACAGGTGCTCGGAGACTTACATTTCAAAAGTTATTTTTCCTTGTGACAAGGTCCTCCCTTGGGTAATATTAATTTTTACCCTTTGACTTTGACCTTGGAGTTTGACCTTCTCTTAGAGACACTGAAAATTGACAAAGAAAATGGTAAAGGCAAAAATTCATTTCTTGAAAATGAAGAGATGAGCGCTTGAATTTTAGTAATTGAACATATAAATTCTATATTTACAAAAACTAACATCAAAGGGTGTAATCTAGACTAACATACATCTCTTTTTATTTGACTTGTATGAAAGACTTCAACGATACTGATGTTTTTGGACTGTGAATTGATCATCCATTTTCCTTGAAAGTTCCTCCAATGAAAATGATTGGCTGTGTCCCCCAAACTTCCAGTGCCTCCCGCGGACCTGAGGAGTGCATTTCACTAATCCAATTTCAGTTTGGGAAACACAACCTAACGTTTTCATGGAAAACACCTCCAAGAAAAAAATTTCCTCGATACCCTGAAAAAAGTTATCAGTCGTTATTATAGAGGTGACCTTACGTATAAGCATATAATCGTCGCCTTTTTTATAATATGCTTTATTATATATAAAAATAATTTGGACCCCCCCCCCTACGGCGTCCCCTGCAGCCTTATTCCTCTAAAACTAATGAATAGTAGTCATGCAGCATTTTAAACACACTTTTATTACTTCATTTTTTAATGGCACAATGCACATTATGATCGAATACATACATACATGATACACATGTTGTGTAAAAGTTATACATAAAACAATAACAAACTCAAACAATTTCACGGTTCGTGAATTCATAAACGTAAAAACAATGCATTATAACACACTTTAACTATTTCAATAAAGTTATCAACAACGTTAACTTCACAGTCTGTGAATGAATTAATGAAATAACAGAGTAAGCTCCTTTGATATGTCATGTAAGTACAAAACAGAACAGCACTATTTACTTTTATCCCTGTTCTAAACAGCCAGTACCAGGCCGCGCCGTGTGCTCTGTAGGTAGTGAAGATACGGGGTACCACCTCTCATCCGACGCCGGAGTCCTGCTAATAATCCCCACGAGGTGGCGCTGGATGTCCGCTGGCGGGGAACGTACGCCTCCTCATAAGGCAAGCTACTGTGTAAATGTTGAGCATACAGAAACATGGTAGATGCCATTATTAGGGTGTCAAACTCACTTTTTCGATCCCACAGGTGGTTGAAGCCTCTTTCGAGTTGATCCGCCAAAGAAGTTTTTTCAAGGATCCGTTCCCAGTTTGTCTCCGCACTTTTTCTGACGTATTCCCGCACTTTCGGTGACGGTAAATTTTGGCTACATTTGTTTAAAGTTGACACTAATTTTCCTGCGTGAATGTTTTCCTTTTGAGATATGTAGGAGCAAACAAATCGTAAAAACTGGGAGGGGGATTCCTCCACGCCACAGGCCTCACACCCCTCTTCACCAGCATCTTCCCGCCCCTCCTCACCGGAACATACCCAAGTCATCACGTCACGCTGGGAGAAGTCTGTCTCCATGATTAATTATTGTCGATAATAAATATAGTTACCGGTATTATACACTTTGTGTAAAAATGATGAAATATTTATCGTAAAATCCAAAAGCTATAAATAAGTATGACCACATGTCTTAAAGTCCCCCTAGTTACTGGAAAGTATGTCATTTAGAGTTATCTCGCTTTGAACGCCTACAATAGACTGTATTTCTCAATATATATTTGTGTAGATGGTTGACCGATTTTGAATTTAATGATTAGATTTCTTCCCAGTCATGAGTTAGTTTGTAATCTATTAATAGATGTTGTAAACGAAGAAGAACGTTTCATCATGAACCGGATAGACACGTCTGCTTAAAAATTTGGAAATATCTATATAAATGCATTTTCGCTCAGTTTGTAAACAGAAACCAATTTCAGTGAATGAAATATTCTTAAAAGTTCAAACATTCAAAAAGTTCAAAACATTTAAGACTGGTAAATTCAACATGTGGAGTTTTTCTGCATTCTGCAATGATAAGAAGAGCAAGTCCTTGACTGAGAATAATTCAGGATGCGGTGGAAAGAAGGGACTCTATTTCACAAGTGAGTGGGAGAACCTGATCCAGCAGGGCATCTCTCCAAGGGAACTGTGGGAAACGCGGTATGAGGAGGTGAACAGAGTTAATTCGGACTTTCTTCAGAAGTTTGAGTGGAAGTGCGAGGGTGGATCAAAAGATTCAATGTCACCCAGCTTAGCGACGGCCATTGAGCAGTTGCTGCTAATTTTTGGGAAAAGTTACGTGCAGGAAATGCAGGGTCGGTGGGAAAAATCTCGGGAGGTCGGGCGCAGCCCCATGGATTTCTGGGCGGAGGAGAGGTCAAAGTTCGAGAAAAAACATTGGTTCTGGCGATGGGGAAAGAAATCTGGACATAAGAAAGAGAAAGAAGGAATCTCAAAATCCAGCGAGTTTGACGAAGAAATACTCAAAGATTAGTTCTATGTGGATTTACTCCTATATGTTTAATTGTGAGCTCAGATATGTACTTTTATACGCAAGTTCATTGACTTTTCAAGAGCTTTTTAAAAATATATATGATCAATCTATTTCAGTAGGCCTAATTCTGAACATGAACGTGTCTTAACTGCATTTAGTAATCCTTCTTTAAACTTCTTTACCTATCAACCTCTTTTTCTCATTATTATTAGATATCATGCTGACAATCATTTTCTAACTTTTTAAAGCTAAAATTTATTTTACATGTATGAGCTGAATTATGTAACTTCATTTTTATCTTTTTAGCGTATGATTTTATGTGCTTTTAATGATTAGCTTTATTTCTTTATATACTCAGGAAAAAATATTACTGTACATGAATTTATATGCCATTTTTTATTTACATGTATACACAAATATGCACATAAATTAATATACATGAAATGTCTTTATAATTATGAATAAAAATCAAAATACATATTTATTTCTTTAAAGTGTTGGCCTTTAGGTGTGAAGAAGGATAAAACATAGGAGATCTAAATAAAAGCATAGTTACCTAACGAGTGGAGGTTGCATCCAGTGGTTCTCCTTTTTCCACATTTGCTCCAAATTTTAAAAAAAAAAATCTATCACGGTCTCTCAGGGACAATGGAATCCTTTCCTTTTTCAGATTTTAGGAAAAGTCGTGCGTAATGTAAAAAAAACATTTTGGATAAAACTAATCATTGTTATACCTTTCTACCTCATATATTAATTTTCACGCGTAACTACATCTAGATCCCACTGGCACTTGTTTTGGAAATAATTTTTAACCCATTATAGTACAATAATAACACGTTATTCTTCTATGAGTTAGAAAAATTATTTCTACTGAAGTGCCTGTGCTTGATACATATGCATATTTGCCAAAAATTCCCCAGATACAACATTTTCTTTTTTTTTTTTTTTTCTTAATAAAATCTCGAAAAATAAGCATTTCCAAAAACACTTGCTGGCCAATGTATCAGATTTACGACATCAATTGTTTATACTTTTTGATTTTAAAATTTTCCAAATCATTATTAAGTTCTTAAATAAAATATTAAAGATCTTACGTAAAATTAGAGTTTCCCCGCTTTGATCTTGATTGTGCACATCGCTAAGTAGGTTACTGCAAAGTACGTTATTGATTCGATTGAATCCTGGTTTTATTCGGGGTGTATGAGATAGAGAATATGAAGAGCCTTACTTAGAGTTTCAAATATTTGTTTTTTATATTCAAGCGAGAGAAGATACTGTGTAAACATTGATAAAATTCTGTGCAATCCTTACATCAGAAAACTGACGCAATAATAGACAGATATGTTTCTATATATCGACCTGTATAAAAAGGAACCGACAGTCTCTCTAGACCAGATAACCTAATAGCTGTGAAAAGAAAACCATTCAGTGGAGTTTGAGATACTGAGAGAAGGAAACAATTTTTATATAGTATTTATTTTTAAATTGTGTTCCAGAGAAACATTAATTAACTATGTGGGGATTTTCTTCGTTTGGTTCTCCTTTAACGAACAATTCCTTGTTCGGACACAGGAAAAACTGGAAAAACAAAACAGTGTTCACGGATGAATGGGAAAAAATGATTGAAAAGGGCTCCTCTCCGAAAGAAATCTGGGAGTCTCGGTACGAGGAAGTGAATAAAATAAACCAAGACTTCTCTCGGAAGTTTGACGTAAAAACAGAGCGCGGGAAGGAGTCCTTTTCTCCTGACATGAACGCCGCAGTGGAGCAGACGACACTAATTTTCGGTAAAGGGTACGTGCAAGAAATGCAGATCCGCTGGGAAAAATTCCAGGAAACGGGCAAACCCAGCACGGAATTCTGGTCGGACGAGAAGGCAGCTTTTGAGAAAAACCGCCGAATGTGGCGTTGGGGTCATCACACGCATCACAGAGAAAGGTGCTGCTTGAAAAAGAAAGAGAAGGAGGAGTCCGCCATGTTTAAAGAGTTTGACTTCTAGAGATGACGGTGAGAGATTTTCAGTTAAGGCATGCAAGTCTTAGTCGGTGCTAGCATTTTTATTATGAATATTACATGTATTTATTTTTGATTGAACAAGATATACTTGTATGCGTATTTGTTTATATGTGTGTGTATAAACATGTATGACAGAATTAGCCTATATTTTTGTATTCAGTTTATGTTTTTGTACATATTGTTTATCAGTGTAAATATAATTTGTGAAATGTTTTTTATTGAAATAAAATTGGTGCCAATTAAAGGAGTAACTTTGTTCTGTATTTTAAAATCACCTTTCGTTACATAACACTTCATAAATTATAAAAACGCCTATTTGCAAGTTATATAAAATACTACGGACCAGAATAAAAAATCAAAACGTTACATACGTATATACTGTAGGTATAGGTATATAGGCAGAAGCACAAATGGTGTTAGACTCTTCATTGACATAACAAGACTTAGTATTTTATGTTATATTTGGATATTTAACTATAGAAAAAGATGTAATGATAAACGCGATGACTTTAATTTTTCTATCGTAAACTTCCCTATTGTATGTAACATTTTCACCTGTACTTGGAGCTCATGTCGCCAATTAAGTTATTGATTCAATTCATAAGTGCATAGTCTACGTACGGACAATTTCTTAGACAGGCTATTGACATGAAAGTTGATGAGACAAGGAAATGAATAGTCAATATTTTGCAAGTTCTTTGGTCTATACAATGGCCTTATTAAGTTATTAGCAAATACATTTTATCATTAAATTGAATGATGATTGACGGTTTTTCATATGAATAAATAAGCCATTATTTTTACCCTTAATTGTCTACAGATTTTTCGTTTTGTCCGATCATGACAAGGAGCATACGACGAGTGTGGCCAGTTGACAAGGGATGCTTACTTCTCCATGGCATCTGATCCTACCTTAAATGTTTTAGATATTCTCTGTTTGCTTTGCTCCCGATTCATATTGTTTCGATGGACCTTTGATCTTGGTTGCTACTGAGAAGAAGAAAACATTTGCTGTCTCCGTCTATTCAACGTTTAGGTATATCGACGCCCATTATCAGTTAACAAAAGTTACTGTCGACACGATATATCACAGTTAACTTGAAATAAAATCTGGAGTCTAAAACATCTGTGTTATATTTAGATATTTTACAAGAAGAAGACTTTAAAAGTAACCTAACAACAAATTTAACTTTATAATTAACCTGATGGCATCAACTTTTTTGGTCTATTTCACTATTTTTGTAGGTTTATACCCTACTCACATGGATTTGGAGTGTATGTCTCCCAGTTGTTAAGAAAACGCAAGACCTTGTCAGCAAATGCATCGAATGTTGACTTAAGTGTCCTTTTTGACAGGTGATGCTCACTCCTCCATGGCGCCTGATCCAACCTCTGATATTATAAGAAATATCTGTTTGCTTTTATCCTTATGGACTTTAATCTTGATAACTGTTCGTCAGCTGTTTTCATATTTCATTTTAACATTTATGTAATACAAAGGATATCCTAGTAAGATTTAAATCTTACTTTCTGAAGAATTCTAGGTCTGTGGCACTTTGTGCAGTAAGTGATCTGTCGTTTTATGTAATATGGAATGTTTTAATATTGAAGACAGATGACACCAACAAAAAATGGATGCCTGGATTTATATATATTTTCAATTTTTATGACAAAAGTTTGTTTATATCATCTGTCCTTAAGTAATCAGTTAAAGACGCAATTTGAAATAGATAATGCATTCTTAATGTTATTTAAGACTTAAAGAAATCAAAGTATAATAACGAATATTTAAAATTTATCTCATTAATTTTTTTCAGTGGTTTAGGAGAACTTTCGGATAATAGATGAACACCCCCAATATAAAGGACAAGATGGTAGTATCCATGTTTTGCTATGGAAACCCCCAATACTAGCATATGTCCGATTGAACCGGAAACAGGAGATGGAAAATTTCAGTATGTAATAAAGATGTTTCGGGTATTACGATATGGACAGACGATCAGACACACTTCTCACTAAATACCCCTACCTTAAGGGGTCCCTACCCTATGCTATAAATTTCACTAGGAAAATTAAAAATTTCTAGCATTGATTTTCGTAAACGACAATATACATGTATAACATCAGAGCCACATGGACAACAGTTTGAATTTTTATACCGTGCAGGGTTTTTTTCATGAATTCTGTTTCATCAAAATACAAAAACACATCTGAAATAAATAACGGGAAACAGTGTGAAATCCAACAAATAAGTCGATGACCTCGCATTATAGCTTCTGTAGCTTAAAATTGCATGTAAGAGCATATACTAGTCCCAATTTATACATTTGAAATCTTTGTTATTAGAAAAATCAAAAGTATAACCCGTGTAATTTTTATTCATGGGTGAAAATATAACAAAAGTCCACTGTGCAATGAACTCATCAACAGTATTAAGTGTGCTTAATCAATAATGCATAAAATATAAACTTTTATCATACAAAATTCATTTAATAAAATTTGCCTTTTATTCATTGTCAAAGACACGTTAACTATCACTATGTCCATATATCATGCAAAACAGAAGACACTGTCACGTGACGTCTTGTTCTTTTGACGTCACCTTTTCTTCACTATCATTAACTTCCATCCACACAACACATTTATCTATGGAGTTCAGCTTCGCCATTTCTTCTATAGCGATCTCATCCGTGTCATTATCTTTGGGCGGAGCATGCGACTCCACGATTTCTACTGTCTCCATGGTGACCTCAATGTGATCCCCCGTTAAGGACCTCTTCATGAGATCCTCTTCAGATCTAGAAGGCTCGGTGATGTCACCGTCAAGTCGGAAGGACAAATTTCTGGTGAAGGTCTCGGCAAACTTTTTCGTTTTCCCGCTCTTGGTAGTTTTTCGGCTTGATTTTCGATGCTTTGACTTTTGTTGTTTGGTGTCCTCGCCCCCTTCCCCTGCGGGTCTTCCTTCCTCCTCCGTGTGGTATCTGCTCTCTTCCTTGAGCTGGCTGATCACTAACTTGGCTTCAGAAGACATGGCAGTAGAAATGTCATTAAGCTGTCGTTTCTCCAGCTGAACTTTCAGTTCGTACAGAGAATCGTGTGAGAGATTGAACCCCTCTAGCCATCCTGTTACCAACTCACACTGTTCCCCAGTTTCCCCACCAAGCATGGTGAATGTCACTAATTCACTTATACAAAGTAAAAGTCCTATGGTTGGTACAAACAGTACACTAATTGAGAAAAGAATTTCATCACACTACACGATCTTCAGTGCTGAATTCTTATCGGAATGGATCTGTAAGAAGATGATACTCCATAATAACATTGTTCATACTGAATTATAAATGGGAACTTGTCAGCAGTAATAAATTCCTTTTTTTCATTTCAAATCTAATCAATTTAAAAGATTTATAGTCTTTAAACCCCGTTAACAGGGTACTACCCTCTAGGTATTCTTGACAACCCGTGCATCGGATGCTAGCTACAATACCTAATGTAGAAATACGTGTAAACAAAACCTTTACATATATGTCTTTTGTCTTGGAGTTTATTTCACACTTTTATTTAACACTGTTTTACTATCTATGATAGTCACGAGACACGGAAGCTATAGAAGCCTATAATCCCCCCTAATGGGGGCTCATAAAAATTCTGAAGATTGAACCGAATGCAAACAATTTCAATAGGTTCTTTGTCATTTGTACTGTTTACAAATTGATCGAGCTGCTATCAATTGTTGAAATTTTTAAATATAATCCGACCCTTTTGTGTTGCTGCATCGTTATAAGTGCGTCGACTTTCACTGGTAGGAATATTTCTTCAGCTGCCTGCTAACTCTTACAGACCACATGAATTATGTACATATTTTATTTGTTTAATGAACTCAGTTTGACAATGAGAAAATAGAATGGAAAGGTGTAAAGAATGAAATAAAAATTTAACATGTTCTCACATAAACCTTAATTATTCCTGACGGCCTTATATTAACATCACATTAAAATATTGATCAAAACTTTTAATTTCAGAAAAATGAATAGGAAAGATCCATTTTTATCATAATTATGGAAGAGCAACAATCTTGGATGTGATCATTTGTACTTCACATAAATTAATGAAAAAATGAGAGTGCGAGTGACTTAAAAACCTTTAAAAATACACAGAGTTACGGTTAACACTGAGCTCACTAAATGATACTCCCGCCTCCCATATGAATATAATGGCAACGTCCACGTTATGCTCTGAGAGACCCGAAATAAGTATCTGATCAAAAAGTCAAATAGGAGGTGCACAATGATATTATGTAATAAAGAATCTTTGAAAGTATCATTAAACTTTATTCAGTGGTATAGGAGGAATTGTGGACAAGAGATTGGAACCCTTTATCATAAACAGAATGGCAGGATAGAAAATGTAAATTGTTGTACAAGTACCGACCGTACAGTGAAAAATATAACAAAAATGAAGCCATCCTTTTAACGTTACCTAAACACAATAATTCTTAAAATAGAAGAATGATCATTTTAGATTTGTCAGACAAAGACGTTTGATTGTTTTGTTTGTGTTGTGTTTATTCTATTATTATCAAACATGAGAAAGTAAACTAAGGGTATACTGGGCACTGAGCTGAGTAAATGATACCCCATACGATTATAATGGCAAAGTCCATGTTTTGCTCTGGGAGACTCGAAATACTGATAAGTGCCAGATCAAAAAGTATGTTATAAAGAATCTTTAAAAGGACCATTAAATTTTATTCAGTGGGTTAGGAGGAGTTGTGTATAAGAGATGGGTACGCTTCAATATTATATAAAGAATGGCAAAGTATGCGTTTTGCCTCTTCTACCAATGAATGAAATCAATCTAACTTTTTCTCTGTGGTTTTTTTGTTGTTTTATTCTATGATCCATTAACAAAAAAAACACACACAGATGTAATGCCACCTCAGAGGCCCTCACAAATATATCATCACCTGGGGTACCAGGGACTCCCTGAATCAGACAGAAAAAAAAATTGCTAAATAAAATTTACGGATATTTTGAGAGTTTTACATCGATATAAAAACAAGTCTCAAACAGAAGTGGTAGCGGATTCGAAACGTCTAATTTTAAATAGATTGGAATGAAATTGAATGAGACTTTCAAATTTTCAGAATCTTTGTTATATAGGGCCTTCTTGCACCTTTAATTTCTTTTTTTAATATATTCGATCAATGCATACTATTTATGCAAGATATATTACTGTATTCAGCGGCAGCTCACACAAATTGGTCCGACCAAAATAGTTCCATCATGATAAGTAGATACAACATTATTGTTCATGATAAGAGTAAAGTTGTGTATGTCATACGTTAAAGAAATCAAAAATAACGTCAAAATACTATTAGAAAGTCACTTTCCCCCCGAAATGCAAATAAAAAATATCAATATTCCTACGCTCGCTCCCTCCTCAGCCTTTTTGTTTTTTTTTTACATGAATAATTAGGTCATTCTTCGATTCATATCTTTTCACCGATGAATTGATAATACATGTACTATATCAACAATTGTATTAAGTACATGTTTATAGCCCGTTAATTATCATACAATTTGTTCTTGAAGAAAAAATTAATCATTCTGTGTGTGTGTATTATTAAATGACGGAATTTTCAATCCCTGGCCTGCTCGTATGTACACTTTGTAAACTGTAGGGTATGTGTGGCAAAACGAGAACTGAGTTGGAGATTCGGGTTCGTGTTGAAGTTCAGCATACCATTTTATATAGAACTTGAATAATGTAAGTAATTTCTGCGACAAATACATTAGTATATTTCAGTTATTTAAAAAAAAAGGTTTTCCATGTTTTCAGTTTAGAATTTTCCGACCCGGTCCACAGGGACTTGCTCCTGGCGTGTAAAAAATATTTATTAAAAAAAAAAACGATACCCCTACTATAAAACTGTAGTTTTATAGTAGGGGTATCGTTTTTTTTTTTATAAGTATTTTTTTACATGCCAGGAGCAAGTCCCTGTGCCCGGTCCTGATTTTCCCAACCCGGCCATTTTAAACACAAGTTGTTGCAGATGCAAATGTTAGAACAAACTATATATAGTTCAACAGGGATTGTATAATTTTTATTAATCAGAATTCGTATTTATATGATCTAATTAAGAAAAGAAAAGTTTTGTCTGCCATCGTAACTTCTCGGCAAAACAAAACGTGTTTCTCCGAGCTCGCTGGATGCGTTTGACAGCTCCATCGCACGTGTGTAGACCAAGGCTAATGTTGGTCTTGCGGACACAGGTACATGTAGGCCTATGTTTACTGTTTGTTGGGAGACTGGGTGACCGTAATGCTATGGACTCACGAAATTTACAACGGTTCCATAATTAGACAGTGCAGTTTTTTTTTTATTAACGTCATTATAAACACTGTTAAACATATTAAATCTAACAGTCGAATATCTTTGGATATGGGGTAACCCATATCTATTCTTGTTACTTTTTGATTAGACACATATTTTCGAGTTTCCCAGAGCAAAACATGGACACTGCCAGGGGGTGCACACTGGCATCATGAAATAAAAAATCTGTGAAAGTATCATTAAATTTTATTCAGTGGTAATGGTATAGGAAGAGTTGGGAAAAGAGATGGATAGGCTTCAATATTACAGAAAAAAATGCCAGTGTCAGTTATTTGCTATGGGAAATTCGAAATATGTTTCCGATCAAAAACTGATATAGAAGTTGCACAATGGCACTATTTAACAAAGAATCTGTGAAAGTCTCATTTAATTTCATTCTATGGTAAAAGAGGAGTTGCGGATAAGAGATGGGTACCCCAAAGCGTAACGGACAGACGGACGGACATAGAAATGGACGGACTGACATCCCGATCACTATATTCCCTTCCACTTTTCAAGCAGAGGTATAATAATGTGCCTTATGGAAATACATGTATCTTACAATCAAAGTATACCTTGCATCTGTTCAGTCTTTTTTAAGTGTTACAGAGAACAATTTTACATAAAATATCAATCATGTAAGATGGACCTACCTGAGGGATTGGCTATTTATCCTTCTGACTGATGTATTCCACTTTTAGTATACATTATGATTTATTACGTAACTATCAATACCTTGGTTGTTTAGGGTTACATTTCCGAATACAAAACTTTATTTTTAAATAAAACTAGCATGATTGATACGACCGTCTTCAGTCTTTAAGCCTCGTCCATTATAGTGCTTCTATTATATGTACCGTATGAGGAGGTATGTTTAACTGACAGCTTTTATCCCCCGGTATTTTACCCATTTCAACATTGATTAACCTACCGCTATTAATGAACTCCAACCATTTTTCTTAGTCTTCTTACATCTGTTATGTAATCCAGCAAAATCAACGATCCCCTTTAAAATCTAAAAGTTGAATTGCAAATATAATTGCTTTTAGTATAATACAGCTAATATTTGCTTTAAAAAGATTTTTTTTTTGTAATTCTATGCCCTGAATGTTAATTAACAATGGTTTTAACAATGTAGTTAAATTTCACTTGGTGTCGATTTTCTGCGTGTGTATTGTTCTGTGAGGTTAACATTTAATGGTTTCTAATTCGTAACAAATACATGTGCAGGACTTTAAAACGCGTATTTAATGAACTATTTCTAACCACGGGAAGCAACTGATAAACTAGTTCTAATTGTAACGGGGACCGTTACAGATGTTCCCCAAATGCTCCCCAACTCCCTTTTTGTGCCAATTGCCTTTAAAACTTTTTTCAATATGCTTAGTATCGCAGGATTTCATAAAAGAATTTTAAAAGCTACAATGATATCAACTTTTTTTCTCATTTAACGCATTGTTCGCAAACGCACGTGCATGCACATGCAAGGTGATCATGACATGTTGTCTAAACCAATAACATCTTTATATTCCAGAAATCAATAAAAAGTCATAAAAATATAAATTTTACCTTTTTTCAAACATATTGTTCATTTTACGCATTGCGTGTGCGCATGTGCATGCAAGCACGTCCTTGCATTCAATTTTGATAGCAATATCATGTAGGAATCCATAATACCTATTCATATTCTAAATTTCATCATGTTTTGTTGAAACAAGAAAGATATAGGCATGTAAAGTTTTAGCCAATCAGATTGCAGCACACGTGGATTTATGTGCTTTCATGATAATTCTTATATATCATGCGGTAGATCTTCATAATATGTGACTAAGTTCAAAATTTCAAAGGATTATGACGTAAAACAAGAAAGATTTTGAGACTTTAGTTTCAGCCAATCAGAGCAAAGCGCAC